TCTCAGCTCTCTAAGGTCCCTGGGGACTTGGCTGCTGTCTCCGGCATGGCTGCAGAGCCAGCTGTAGATCAGAGGCCTGCTTTTTAACTGTCTCTCTCGTGTCCACCATGCAAGCAGGGGTGGCAGCCAGGGACCCCTGTCCCTCTCTTGGGGAATGAGGCATCCATCAGGAGCTGCCCAGGACCTACAGATACCACTGGCATTGTTCAGAAGGACAAAGCATAAAATAGAACCGCCTAAACTATGGAAGACACACACTGAGAAAGCGACCATGGAGCTGGCGCCATGGAACAGCTGGTTAAGCCTCCAGCATCCAGTTAGAGTCCTGGCTGTTCCTCTTCCGATCCAATTCTGTTGATGGCTTGGGAAGGCAGCAGAAGATGGCCCAAGTGCTTGGGCTTCTGCACTCACGTGGGAGACCCCAGTAAAGCTGCTAACTCCTGGCTCTGGACTGCCACAGTTCCAGCTGTTGCAGTCATTTGGGAAGTGAATCAGCAGATGGAAAAATCTCCGTTTCTCTCCCTGTAACTTTAAAAAAAAAAAATACGAGCTAGAGGAGGAGTGTTTCTGTGCAATGACCTGAGCACTGAGGTGAGAAGGCTCAGCTGGCACGTGGCTCCCGCCAAGAGCAGGCTGGACTAGCGATGCCCACCTTGCTACGAACACCCAGAAAAGCCTGGGAGCTACACCATTGCTAAAATCTCGTACTATGCTCACAAATCACAGACAGGAACACAGCTCCCAGAGGCTGGGGACATCAGCGTTACTCCTGAGGGGCGTGCGGGCCTTAGCGTGCCATCCTGTGATGAACATGTGGACCATCTGAACCCAACATGGCACTCTGACATCAGCTCAGTCCGATGGTATCCGGTAAGTTGCTCTGTACTAAAGGACATGCTTGGAATACTTTCTCAACTCATTACTGAGGGGGTGGGCACTTGGCATGGGGTTGAGACATCACCTGGGATGCCCATATATGGTGTTTGCTTCAAGCCACTGCCCATGCCAGCTTCCTGCTAACACACACCTTGGCAGGCTGCACAGATGGCTTGAGCCATTGGTTCCTGCCTTCAGTTTGACCCAGTCTCAGCTGTTGTGGGCATGTGGGGAGTAAACCAGCAAATGGAAGATCTCTCTCCCCCTCTGCCTTATAAGTAGAATGTGAGAAAATGGTAGTTTTATTTCCTTCTGGTAGTCTCGTTCTAATTGGGAGGAACTGCTAGAGGGAAAGAGACTGCTGACACAGAACCAGTGGACCTCACACTTCAGGAAACCTTCCTTAGCCAACGTGAAAGGCAGTGACAGCACAGAGGGGACCAAGATCTTTCCACCTGCAAATTCACTCCCCAATGGCCACTGGCTGGGCCAGGCCCAAACTGGCAGTCTGCAACTCCAGCCAGGTCTCCTACATGGGTGGCAGGGGCCCAGGGACGTGGAACATCACCCCAGTCTATCAGCAGGGAGCTGGACCAGAAGCAGATGCTAGAACTCAAGCCGATGCTCCAGTGTGTGAGCTGGTGTCGCAACTGTCAGGTGGCTGAACCTGCTGTGCCACAATGCCGGCTTCAGGACATTCTCGACACAACTTTTCTGGATCCTTCCAACCTCTCTCCCAGTGCACGGAGGAGCAGCTGCCTCAGGCTCCTCCAGGTCTCCCTCAGGATGTATGGGTGCTTGTGTCTCTAGAAAAGCAGGGATGAAACACAGGGCAATCACCACTGCTCGGATCCACAGACCTGGGGAACTGGAACATGCCTGTTAAGCACGTGGGTGCCGGGGCTGTGGCCTCAGGTTATGCCAGGTCATGGTCTACTTCAGCATGGCTGAGTCCCCAAATGGGGCTACTTAACCCCGACATGATACCCTCATGAGCCTGTTCATGCGTCCACCCCCACCACTACACAGCTCACGGCAGGACTCCCGTGTTCTTGGGGCTCTGTCGCCGAGGTGCAGCTGCGTGCCATCCACCAGCTCCAGCAGCAGTCCCAGCCGGCCTCCCTGAGCCAGACCCCGAACCAGCAAGAATGTCGGGAGCAGGAAGGCGCGCAGGCCTCCAAGGGCAGCCGGGAAGGAACCCTATCGGATGACCTTCCACGGTGCTTGCGACACACACTCATCCTTTCAAACCATGCTTTGGCCAGTTCAACAGCCGGTGACTCCAGAGCTGGACTGCCATGCTGGGTGATTGTTCTATTTAAAAAGGACTGTTCAGTCTCAAAACTGGCCCAGCATTCACTTCTAAGATGGGCTCAGTGTCTGAAATAAGCAAACATACACATATATATTTTTAAACTACTCTTTAATCAGCTTTAAAGACACAGGGATTAGAAAAAACTCACATTTGCATGTAAGTTAAAAACACCTTTAAAACCCAGCAAGAAGCCACCAAACTCAAAACGAGTGCTTCTCAAATGATTGTGGCACAGCCAAGTGGACCCAGCGGCCGATGGATTCACCATACAACAAGAACTAACTTTGCAGACCTGTTGAAAAATAACACTTCTTTTAAAAAAATATTCTGAAATAATCAAAACCAAAAGCACAGAACGCCACATTGTACTCTTGGCCCAGGAAGGTGACACTGTCAAAATCGCTCCCCATGCAGCCGGTCTCTCATCCTGCCCAGGTGAATGAGAGAAGTCAGGCAGGCTGGGAGGAGACCACACGGCGAGCTCCACCTGCCGCGCCAGTCCCGCCCCTTCCGGCTGCGAGGGGCAGTCACAGCACGTCTGAACCCCGCAGCATTGCGGTCACTGCTTCTTCCTTGTGATGGACAGCCAGAAGGAAATGCACTTCCGCTAACAGACCCCTGCTCACAGATCCCAGAGGACTTCTGCACAGGACACAGGCTCATTCTGAAGTCAGTGGCAAGCTCCCTACAGCCCTGCCAGCTCCTTCCAGGAGGACAGAGGGACGCGCTCACACAAGCACGTCTCAAAAAGGCTCACCCACAACAGGGACTGCCATTCAGGCCACGGCAGCAGCCACTTCCTCCCGCTCAGGAGTCAGCCTGGCACTCTGCATCTGCTATCACCTGTTGGTTCGGCATATCTGCATCTGACTACGGCAAAGCAGGGGCAAACGAGGCCCAGGTCATGGGACCACAGCGCGAGCTGCGGACAGTGGACGTCAGGACCTCCGCATGCTTACCGCCAGAGCACGGCATCTTGGGAGATGCAGACATTTGCTTTATAAAAGTTGTAAGCAAAGCAGAGTGTGAGCCTGTTCTCAAGGCAAGATCAACTGGCTTAAAAATGTGTCTTCAGGTTCTGTTTCACAACGTTGTCTCCACCAGCGACCTACAGGGCTCATCAAGTGCTTTATTGGGGTTTACACAACATTAAAAACCTACGAAAATAAATATTACTTAAAAACATACAGCAACATTATAGAGCAGCCTGGCAGTTCAGCAGCCAGCTGTACCCTCTGTACAAGAGCCTCCTGCCACGGATCAAACAGTGTCCCGCCAAGTGCCAGCCGGGCACACTCCTTCTGTAGTGAGCCACTCTCAATCAGTTGGATTACACAAGGCAGAAACCCCCAGGATCTCACCTTCACAACTCAGCCCTCCATGCAGAGTCCGTTTACACGCAGACATGGGCCTTCAGCATTAAACACACACGGACCCACCTGCAACCCAGTCCCAGAAGGGACAGCGGCAGGCTCACGGGCACCTGCTGGGTTAGAGCAGGGTGGCGGAGGAAGCGTTCCCATCCCTGGGTTAACCGTGATCACTATCAGCCTGTATCCAAACTCCAAACCCTCTGCTGACAGTGCAACAGGCGCTTTTCCAAAACAATTTCTCTAGCAACTTTTTCTTTCAGTTGTACCATTGGCCTGTGAGAACCAACTGGAAAGAAGGAAACACGAGTATCAGCGTCTGGACCTGCGCTTCTGTCCTGTGCAGATCATCACTCCTTATGGGCAAACGTTCCTACTGTTTTGGTACAGGCCCATTAAACGTATTGTAGGTGTCTTTCAGTAAAATCATTTATGAAAAGCTGTATAGTAGATAAACCCTATCCCGCAGTAATTTGTCAAACATATTTAATAGCATGTAACCTTCCCAATCCTGCACAGCACAGACATAAAGGGAAAAAAACAAAACAAAAAAGCAGAAAGCGAAAAGGGAATTCTGGTTCTGCCAGGAGATGGTTTCATGGTGAGCACATATGCTCAGGGCCACATCAAGCCAGCTGTGCTGCCACGCCTTCCCATCCATGCACAGGGCCTGAAACAGCTCCTCCGCGGCCCTGGCAGCCCAAGGGCGGAGGCAGGCCCGATTGAATGGGCCCCACACCCAGAGCTCTGCTGGCTCAATCAGGGCCCCAGGGTGAGGTCCTGAATAGGGCACCCAGTGCGACAGCTGGCAGCTTGGGAGTGAGAGAGGCGGAGCCAGGGTGCCTCTGGAGCCAGACCCTGCTCTCGCCCTCTGGTTATATTAGAAGCTGAGTGGATTTCCTCTATTCCCCTGAGTTCCAGTGAAAATGCTTTTATGAAACAGGATGAGCCACTTGTAGGAAGGTGACAGCCATCAGGCAAACGGCTGGGTTTCAGGAAGACTAGCCGAGGAGCAGCGGTTACTTCTGTGGCTCTTTTTCCCTGAGTAGTGCGGAACAGGCCACAGCTCACAACTTCACCTCTGGGGTACGACCCTCACGCGTGGTCGTGGAAACACACCAAATCCTATTCTGTTGGTTTTAAAAGAGCCACGACACATCAGTTTCAAACTCTAGTTTAAGTAGCCACTTCTCCAACATTCCCAGTCGACCTCCCATTTAATAGAGCATAAAAATATCTTTATGAGGAGCGAAATCAGGCTGAGAGTTGAAACTACTTCCAGGTTGTGCACCTGGGGGTCATTCTTTCTAGAAGACAGGAGTGAGCCAGGTAACCACCTGTTCATAAGCATCAAACCACTGGCTCAAGGAGACAGAGATCAAACGATGTGTTAACCAAAAGTAAATGAACAATGGATCAAGAAATCTCACTTGTGGGAGGAACAGGTGAGCGATCTGGATTTACTGGCTGAGAAACAAAAATACACTGAGGTAACAGAAATTATGTAAGTGGCTGGACAGGCTCCACGAGCAAAAGTCCCACAAGTGCTCATCCAGTCTCTGGATTTCCGTTAGGACACGCCGGGCCTGTCTGTTAACCCAGCCTATGTTTCCCACCAGAGCCGAGATATGCAGTTCAGCAGCCCCGACTACAGGGTGGGGACTGACACTCCAGGAGGAGCATCCTTCTCCACGCAGCCAGCTCCATCCCAGTGGGAAAACAGGACTTCCTTAGCTGCTCCTCCTCTCCTTAACCCCGTCACCGGGGAAACTCCCAATCAGAATTCAACCCCGTTTCTGCAGCTGGCTAAGAGCCAACAGCACCGGGAGCATTCACAAAAACAAAGACGACGACTCATCACGGACAGGTGACTGGAATTTCACTACAAAGGAATTTAAGGCAAAAAGAAAATAAATCCCACAAGATTGGTCAGGTGACAGAGAAAGGTCGGAGGCCCTGGTGTCTCCTCTCCCATGGGTGATGCCTGACCGCTCGGCTGAGGCGGGGCCGGCACCTCTGCCTGGCCTCGAACCCCGGCCCAGGCCTTCCCCTGCTCCAGCCTCAGCACCACAGCAGGCTGAAGCAGACGCCTGCCACGGCAAGCCTAGGCTCACCAGGAGAAAACAGCCAGACTGATCTAGAACTGGTCTTCACAAGAGTCAACAGCAACGTTTCAATGTGAGAAGAGTTCAGGAAAAAAAAAAAAGTACAGCTCTCTCTAAGAAAGTTCGGGTTCTGTGACTTAGCTTTCATTTCCCTGAAACTGTCCCAAATGTGAGTTAGTGTCAGGGAGAAGAAACGGATCAGACAGCAACCGTACCTAGAGATTCTCTTCCAGAACTTCGAACCATCTACCACCATCACTCACATAGAATCTAACTCTATGTAATTCACCCTTGATAAATTTCAATTATAAAAGTCTAAAGCATTGACAAGTTGTGAAGCTAACAGGTCCCAGTGTAACCCCAGAACTCCAATGCAGCGGGCGGGCAGTGTCTCCCTGCCCCGTGCTAGCTCTGGACCACCTATGCTTTCTGCAGCCCCAGCCTCCTCAGGCATCTTCCTGTGTTACTTAAGCACAGCACATCGCTGACCTAGAATTCACTTCCTAGTGTCCACCTGCAGGACACCCTGCCAACACAGGGGACAAAGTCCACATCCCAGCTGCTCACTGGGGACGCCTTGAGAAGGCCCCTCCTCAAACACTGAGATGTTTATTGCAGGTTTTCAAGTATCACAACCCCCAGCTTCCCATTCCCAAGCCCCCTGGAGTTCCTTTCCAGCACTCAACAGTGGATACTCCGTGTTCTCGCAACGGTACAGCTGAAACGGCCACGCAGGAACAAGATTTCAGGAAAGAGAAGGGGTTAAGGCAAGACACTCGTGTGGAAAAATTAGTTTCCCCCAATCTGGATCCAGGCCAGCACGAGGATTCGTCCATCTCTGTGGTGCCTTGGGGGTGCAAGGACATTCGGTGGACAGGGGCGTTGTGAGGACGCCCCAGCGCATCAGGGAAGGACTTCAGCTACGGCCTGGCTGCCGGGACACGCGGGAAGGGAAAGGCTGCTTCCCCCGCTCCCTGTGGGGCTCACCCAGAAGTCTCCTCTCTACAACCACACTGTCCCCACCCCCAGTCTCTCTCCTGCGACAGGTCAGGCGTCTGCTCCCACACTGTGGCCACCGGCGGGCTCCGTGTCACTGCTGCAGCAGCGGATGTCTGGACGCGGCTCCTGTTCTCCGACTACAAACACTGATGGTGGCGGGAAGACTGTTCTGTCCCAAAGAGTTTTCACTGTCATCGAACTTTTTGGAACGTGAGAGTGGAGTGTCTCCTTGTGCACTCTTCCCTCTTTGGGATTTTTTTGCTGGTAACAACAACAATACTAAGATACTACCGACGTGAAGGCAGTAATACCAGGAGCTGAAAAAGAAAGAGAGGGAGGAACTCACTTTATTAGATTTTGCCCCTGTGTGGAACTCCTGGTGACTGCACAGCTGTTGAAACGGCACAGGCTCCTCACCCTACGCTGTCCTGCTTGCACCAGATAAACTCCACAGTGCTGGGAGATGTTTGGAGGCCGGCAATGCATGCACCTGACCCTGGGCTGCGTCCCTCTGCAAGAGTGGTCAGGCCCGGACTCCACAGGCCTGACAGCAGCAGCTGGAAAACCACCCCTCCAGCGCACTAGGCGCCGACCCAGGCGTGCAGGGAGGGCGGGCATGCCTGACTGGCCTCTCCTCATCTCACTGTCTCCAAGCCACAAACCCCCTGCGAGGCAAGGGCCAGAGCAGCAGGAAGGCTCACATGGTAAAGACATGGCTAGGGATGTCCTTCCGCAAGGCCAACACGAACCGATCATGCCCCCAAATGTTTCCACAGCCCGACAACCCTCTGGGGTGGAGAACCCAGGCACCCGGCCGCTCCTGCGGGCAGCCAGGCAGCACTGCTGTTGAAACGGAGGAAATTCTGGCACGAGTCAGCATGCTCCTGTGTGAGGGCTGGCGCGGCTGACTCAGCAGGCTTTTGGCCACAAGCCGTTCTCAATACTACAGCACTAAGAGGTCAGGGAAGAAGGCCTACCTGACACGGGAGGGGGATGTGGTGGGGCAAAGAAAGGCAGTAACAAATCAAAACAGGAAACTTAAGAAGACAAGGAAGCCATTCATTTCCCTTTGATTGCAGAAATTAATAATTCTTCATTAAAAGCTATCTTTTAATGCAAGCAGATTTAAGACAATTCTGCTACAAGGTTTCCAGTTAAACTCTCCGTGACAGACTGGCGGGAGCAGTGACCTAGCTGAGTCTCCACTTAAATCACGCTCGCCTGAGGTTGAGTGGTGGGGTCACCTAACCCCAGAAGAAACCCAGGACCGTCTGGTGTCAGTGTCCAAGTAACTGATGGGGATTTCAGCAGCGGGCAAGGGGGTGACAGAATGGTTTTCTATTCTACTCAATGATGGAAACTTACTTAAAAAACCTGTCATGTTCTTAAGAGGGACACTTACCTGTAAAATGTGAATGACGGTTTTATAGAAAGAAGTACAAACGGCACGACTGTGTAACTTATTGCTATTTGGGTGACTAGCCACGTTATCACATCATAAAATAACTTCAGCTGCGGCGGTTCGATGAAATGATGTCGGAAGTTACTTCTCATCTGAAACAGAGACACAGGGACACTTGCCACGCGTTGACGCTGTGACAGAATCGCACAGGTGACAGTGCCACACTCACGCTTCGCAAACGGCAGTCTGCTCGGCACTGGCATGACGGGCACCACCCACGGTGGCTTAACACCAGCACAGGAGGGCCCACGAGCAGAGGGAGAGGATGAACAAGGGTGCCGCAACACACACACACGCACGCACGCACGCACACGCATGTGTACACACAGCCGTCCCCCTGCAGGAGCCCTGAACAACTCCCTGGCAGACCTCAAGCTGCAGTAAAATGAGAAGACCCCCCCGCCCCCCCGCCCCAGCGAAGCTACAAGTAACGCTCTCCACGGCTCCTGGTGGGATACCTGGTAAATTACAGCACACATCTAAGGCCTGGGGTTGGCGCACTGGCTCAACTGGCTAATCCTCCACCTCCAAGAGCAGGCATCCTGTCTGAGTGCTGGATTGTCTCTCGGCTGCTCTGCTTCCCTGCCAAGTCCCTCTTCTGGCCTGAGAAAGCAGCCGAGGATGGCCCAAGCCTTTGCATGAACATGGAGAGCTGGAAGAAGCTCTTGGCATGGTGGCCATTTGGGGAGTGAACCAGTGGGCGGAAGATCTTTCTGTCTCTTCTCTCTGCAGATCTTTCCAATAAAAATAAATAAATCTTTAAAAAAAAAAAGTCCAATGTACTGTCAGTGTTCTTATCACCAGGAAACGGGGCAAGTTCGGCATCTGAGATACACAGGCTCCACCCTGGGCCAACAGCCTCCAGAGGCACACAGCAGCCACACACACTGAGAGCGCCTTCTCATGAAAGAGATTTATTGATTTTCCAATTGGAAAGAGATTCACAGAAGGAAGGAGAGACAGAAAGATCTTCCTTCTGCTCATTCACACCCCAAGTGGCTGCAACAGCCAGAGCTGAGCCGACCCAAAGCCAGGAGCGCCTCCAGGTTCCCACAAGGGTGCAGGAGCCCCAGGCCTTGGGCCATCCCCTACCACCCTCGCAGACCACAAACGGAGAGCTGGATGAGCAGTGGAGGAGCTAGGACTAGAACTGGTGCCCATATGGGACACTGGTGCTTGCAGCAAGAGGATCGAACCCACCAGGCCACTGTGCCAGACCCCCAACAAGACGTTTTCTAACATCTACTTTCTGGTAACTTCTCTGTGGCTTTCAAAACAGACAAGACCTTTCAGCTTTGAAATATGCCAATTTGACTGCACAGCTTGTCCCCGCTGGGGGGCGGGGGCTGCTCCACGGCGCCCCTAGTGGCCAGCATCACTTTCTGCCTAGGGCACTGGCGCAGCATCCTGGATCCTGCCAAGGGGACAGGGCTGCTCCTTCCTGACCACTGGGCACACTCTCCCACAACTGCCTTCCGCCCTCCCTCACGCCATACCAGGATCATGTACTGTCTCCCACAGATCCTCTGCTTCAGTCAGGGTTCCCTGGCACTGCCAGGCCTCGCTCTGCTGATGCCCCTCTCACGCCTACCACCTTCTCCCACATGGAGCTGTGCTCACAACTGGAGGCGCTTCCACCTTTCTGAACCCGGACCCACGCCCTTAGTGAGGCCGGCTCTAGCGAGTCCAGCACAAGGGATGATGCCATCCCTAAAGGCCCACGCTGCTGCCTATAAACTCCATGGAATCTGTCATATATGTCTGGTGACACACACACACACACGTTCCCAAAAAGAACAGCCCTTAGTTCAGACTTCTTAATATGTTCCTTACATGACCCTAACATATTTAGAATTGAAAAAAATTTGTAAATGTACTTTACATGAATGTCATCAAAACATATTTTGATTTGATTATTGCTTATAGGCCTTGCCCATCTTCCTCCTGGACTATGGGTTTTTAATTTTCTATTCAGTAATCTCTTTATTCGGCAGAGCCACTAAGCTTTTGAAAATAATATAAATTAAAATTGCTATCTTAAAAAATATTAAGTCACTGGCTCTTATGGACGTCGAGGGACTCCCACGGAATTCTTCTCTTCTCTCCCCACATCCTACTGATGCGGCTCTCCCCACTCTGCACTCCAGGCCCTCCTTCTGGGCCCGCCCAGGTTCCACTTGCTATCTGCACGGGGACTTAAGTGTCACCACTCTCAGGACTTCGTTTCAAAAATACATCGACCCAGCCTGCTCATCCTCCCGCAGGCGTGCAGAGACGTGTCGTGCATGGCCAGGGGCACATCGCATGGGGAGCAGGCCACGCACGCGCCACACAAGGTCTGCCTGCCTTGCAACAGAGCGCCACCAGGCCCAACCGTGCACGGTGACCACCCAAGTATAAAACAAACCCGTGGTACTTACAGTGCGGGCTGCGAGTGTCATCAGCACCCCTGTGAGAAACGTGAGGTAATATCCCGGGTACACCCCGTGCCAAATGGCAGAGAGAAAGAACGTCTGTATAGTTGGGCTGAAGGAGGCTCGTTCATAACACACCCTGGAAACCATGAAAAACATGGAGAGCCAAGAGGAGTGAGTGACCGAGGTCAGGAGGCCCACACGACCATTTCCGCACGCCCAGGCTCACAACTCGACTCTCCTAGGCAGTAACTTCACCTGTGCGCCACTGACAGGTGCAGGATCCCAAGGCCAATTCCCACCTTCTCGTGGGCACACACCACAGCCAACACTATCTCTGGGGTTTGGGAACGTATACAATTTTTTGTAAAAGAAAAAAATGCACTGTAACTAAATGTTAATCTTTTCTGTTCCACTTGGTCACTTTCTTTAAAAATAAAAAATCACAAACTTTCAGATGACCTAACAAGTGGGCGGAACGGGCGTTCTTCTGCATCAGGCTTCCCTGAGGCATCATGCATAAACTGCAGACACTGCCTCCCCACTGCAGCACTCCAGGGACCGGGGATGCTGAGGCAATGGCAGGGTCCTGTGGATACAGCAGCCGACAGACACGCAGCTTCACAGCTTGACTCAGGGGCCAAAGGCCACCAGGAGGAAGGCTGCCCGGAGCCCGACCAGGGCACTGTGCTGTGAAGCCAGCTGGACACGAGGTAAGCAGGGGGGGTTCCGACACTGCACGGGACTGAGTGGGGGACCCCAGCTGAGGAGCCTGCACACTGTCCACCTGCCGACATTCTCTCTCTCTCTCCCTCCACCCCCCAACACAGTGAACTCTATGACTGCAGCGCCCATGTCTTCTTGCTGAAGATGGACAGCTCCGTTGAACTGAAATATCTAGGAACCTGGATCATTCTGGAAAACCTAGGGTGTAGGTACCAGGCTGTAGAGGTGCAGTGTTTAAACCAAATCTCAACTAACGAGCATGAGTGCCGCAGAGGAGGACACGGCACCCAGAGACCTGGCATGGCCTTCCTGGGCTGCTGAGAGGAGAGGGCCGGCACCCCTCAGGGCCTGAGCTCTCGGAAGCCCCCAGGCTAGCTGGCACAGCACCTCTCCATCTGGCTCTTAAGACAACGTACCTTTTGAGCCAAAGAGCTGTCTGAATATTCCAATTATCCAGAAACATCTTGAAACTTGTTGACATCTGAAAAACAAAGAAGACCGCTGTTCTGTGGCAAAGCAAGGACGCCTCACCGGTAAGTCACTCCGAGGCTGACAGCCCCTCCTGGGGCTGGGGGTGCCACCTGCTAAGAACAGCTCCACCCTGGCTTCAGCCTACTCAAGCCCTGACCTCGGAGGCAAGCCTGCGTCCCCACCCTGTTTACCATCTTCCCGTGGAACTGTCTCCTCCTTCATTTGGCACCATCCCTTGTCAAATCCTTGATGTCTTATGTCCTTTCCAATCACCTAACTGCAGATCGCCCTCCTGCCCGCCTTCCCCACTGCTGACACCTGCACACTGCGAGCAGGGCGTCACACCACGGCCTCCCCCTGCCTCCTGCCCGCCTTCCCCACTGCTGACACCTGCACACTGCGAGCAGGGCGTCACACCACGGCCTCCCCCTGCCCGCCTTCCCCACTGCTGACACCTGCACACTGCGAGCAGGGCGTCACACCACGGCCTCCCCCTGCCTCCTGCCCGCCTTCCCCACTGCTGACACCTGCACACTGCGAGCAGGGCGTCACACCACGGCCTCCCCCTGCCTCCTGCCCGCCTTCCCCACTGCTGACACCTGCACACTGCGAGCAGGGCGTCACACCATGGCCTCCCCCTGCCCTGCGTTCACCCAGGCCTCTGACTTGCCACATAATTCTCATGTCTCTGGCCAGCTCCTTGCATTCCCTTCTGTTCCCACTGGACCAACGATCTGAAACCATCTTTTACAGTCTCCCTCGTTCTCCCAGCAGGCAACTCCACACCCACTCCAACCTCAGGATGCACCCCCACCTGCTCCGGTCCCTGTTTTTATGGCTGAAGGCGTCCTTCACAGAAGGTCACAGCAAACCCTCTTATTCTACCTATACAGGCTGATGATTCAGATCTGACAAAGTTAGCTTCTCCTTAAGGCATCTCATGCACAGGAACACTACTTGACATCCGCAAGTCCCCAGTGGTGTTTCACACACACCCACACTCCTGGGGCTCTCTCAGTACCCTCACGCCCTGACTCTATGTACGTGTGTGTGTGTGTGTCCTGCAGACTCCCTCCACCAGCCCTGGGGTTCGGCTTGCTTTGCCTACGATCTCTGACCCCCTCTATGCTGGGCAGGATGAACTGGCGGGGTACTGGGCCAAGCAGCAGGGCACAGGATGTAAGAGCAGGTGCTCATGGCCTGAAAGCCAGAAGGCTAGGGCTGGTGGGCTTGCTCTTTCTGCCAGTGCTCCCACCAACCTCCTCCCTGCAGTGCGGGCCACTTGCTCTACGGGCAATGATCTGTCCCCACACTCCACCTACGTGGCTGTGCCCTTCCTCTGGCAGCTCCCCATGCCCGGCCTTCCTTCACCACCCGTGGCTCTGTGCCCTCACTCTTTGCTCGCGTGGCCTCTAGAGACTTCCCTTTGTAAAATCCGGCCACAAAATGGAATCACTTTGGCTCAGGCCTGTATGATTTTGCTAACCTGGTCTTTATGCTTCTATACAACATCTTTTGCCAGTTTCCTGCTATTTGGGCTAGCATGCCTTGTTGGCAGCCCTCAGTTCCAGGCATCATTACTGTATGATTTACTCACTGTCCCCCTGGCGGCCTCCTGTGGTTGCTACAGCCTGCCCACTGTCCACCCAGTATCCCCAGGGCAGCCTCCTGTGGTTGCTACAGCCTGCCCACTGTCCACCCAGTATCCCCAGGGCAGCCTCCTGTGGTTGCTACAGCCTGCCCACTGTCCACCCAGTATCCCCAGGGCAGCCTCCTGTGGTTGCTACAGCCTGCCCACTGTCCACCCAGTATCCTCAGGGCAGCCTCCTGTGGCTATCCAACTCACCTGGCTCCCGTGGCTGTATAACTCACTCTTTCTATAAAAACCCTTCTAAGGCTCACCTCGGGTCGCTCTCAGAAGGAAAGAAGAGCTGACTCCAGCCACGTGGTTTACCTGCGTCAATAGACTGTTTAGCAGCGTTATCTGGCCGCACTTCCTGCAGAGGCTCAGGCTGGATGTGCCACCTTCACCACCTCCGGCTGTGTGTACCCACTCTCCTCGTGCGGCCCCCCAAACTGGCCTTCCTTCGCCACCTCTGGCTCTGCGCCCTTCAGGTCATGCTACTATCTTCCCTTTCTACTTCTCTCTTCTTGCAGAGTAGCCCCTGCCACCTGCCCAGAGTCCCCATGTTTCGTCCTCAGTTCAGACGTCTGCTTAGTGTCTGGCCGCTCTTCTGACTGCTGGTCAGCTCGGTAAGTCTGGAAATTGACCACAGCATCTTTCCCTGCAAGCCTGTGCTTATTCCTTCTTATCTCAGTGAAAATGGCATCACAGGGGCTGACATGAGGGCTTAATTGGCTAATCCTCTACCTGCATGGGCGCCCGTTCGAGTCCTGGCTGTTCCACTTCCCATCCAGCTCCTGCGGCTGGCCTGGGAAAGCAGCAAAGGATCGCCCAAGGCCTTGGGACGCTGCATCCGCGTGGGAGAAGCCCTGCACCCACGTGGGAGATACCCTGCACCCGTGGGAGACCTGGAAGAGCTCCTGGCTCTGGTTTAGCACAGCCTTGGCTGTGTAAGTGGACAGAAAATCTCTCTCTCTCCCCTATCCACCTGTCAATAAACAAATATAAATACATAAGCTGTCAGCAAAGCATAGTTATTAACAGCAAAAATCCAGGGCCAGCACTGTCGCTTCTGGGACCCCCCATGTTCCTCATCTCTGTGCCTGGGTTCAGTCCTGCCTCCACTTCTGCCCTGGTGTGCATGCTGGGCAGCAGCACGCGCTGGCCCGGTGCATGGACCCTGTCACCAGGAGCGCTGGACCAGGCTCCTGATTCTGTGCTTTGGCCACCAGCTCTGCTGCTTCAGGCACTGGGGGAGTGACCCAGTGAATGGGACAGCAATCTTTCTACATCTCAAATAAGAAGATCACTAAGAGGTACAGATTTCAAAGACCTCATAAAGCGGTGGGAGCCTAGGTCTGCTCACTAAGACTCGGCATGAATGCCTGAATGAGTGACGACATCCGGCTCTGTCTAGGAACTCACTCCTGTGCCAAGTCCAGCTGAGCCTGCATCTGGCTCAGGCTCTTGCAGCTCTCCATGGTCAGTCACCTGGCAGTCACACAGCTGCTTCCCACAGGTCTCCGCCTCCCACCTGGCTCCCCAGGAAGCGTTCTGCAGCAGCCCACCCAGGGTGCCGCACGGCCCTCACCGAGAGCTCCGACCCTGCCCATGGGCCCCTAGATGCGCCTGGCTTCTCCTTCCCCAGCCTCATCTCCCACCCTTTGCCACAACCCACGCAAGGCACGGCTCCCATCATCCTCATGCAGCTCCTGGGCCTAATGCCTGGCCACCCACCTGTCACCTTAAGACACGACTCCTTACTCCCCTGGGGATCCCTTCCCTGAGCCGCTCGTCCCAGGGGGACTGCTGTCCCTGGATGCCCACAGGTCTTGCACTTCTCCGGTCACAGCTCGTGGCTGTGTGCTCTCGGCCCCTCCATGAGGCGCGGGACATCCCTCTGTGGTCACTGGAGCCACGGCCGACGACCAGCACTGTGGCCGCAGGGAAACCCGAGTGTGCTAACTGAAGCTCCTCGCTGCCCCTCTCGAGGCACACAGAGCCGTCCAGAAAGCACACCAGCACAGGCAGCCGGCATCTGCACTTACTGACCTCTATCTGCTGAATTCTCAAATTGGAAATTAAGTCCCAGCGAGCTGCTCCGTTTCTGTCATATCCTCTGAAACCAAAGCCGGCAGCATTATTAATAGCATCAGCTGCAAACAAAACGAACACAAAGCATTGAGAATCTGCAGGAGCCCACCGGGCCCCTCGGAGGCTTGTGCTGCCCAGAAGTGGACACACACCAATGGGAACCACCAAGCATCGCGGGACAACAAGACACAAGCAGGGAGCGAGGGCAGGTGGAGCTGGCGGCCACTGGGGACCCAAGGGCTGCAGGTGAGGAAGCCACTGGCCACGTTGGGACGCAGCAAGTGTGCCGGATGTGAAGGGGGTCCAGGGGACTCGGCCGGGGCTCCCCAGTTCTTATGAACCACATAATTTGTCCTTTTTTGGGCACAGGAGCAGGCTCACGGGAAGCCTGTTCACTGCCACTTGTCTCTGCTGCTTCACCGAGGCACCCCCACGGGCGGCTGCAGGACACACGGTGCTCCTGAGTCACATCGGCCCAGCACGCGTGCTTCACGCCGAGCCGCCAAGGAAGCTTCCGCCTCCAGTCAAGTGGAAAGGTGCTTCTAACTCGCATTGTTTGTTACAACCAGCAAAGTCACATGCCTGCCCGGACGTGCACACGTGAACGACTTTATCTCACATTAAGATAGTACAGCGAGGAGGCTTTTAAAGAAAAGTGCACCTTAAGGAAAACAGAATAAACCCGCAGGACTTCACTCTGCTAGGACCATGAGATCTGTGGTCCTGAGGTCAGTCAAGTATGTTCTGAGCCTGCAGCAGGCTCATCAATACAGTGAAGCTTAGAGATGCGCAGTGGCATAGTAAGTTAAGCCTCTGCCTGTGGCGCTGGTATCCCATAGGGGCACCAGTTCAAGTCCAGGCTGTTCCACTTGCATTTCTGCTTCCTGCTAAGGGCTTGGAAAAACAGTGGGGGTTGGTCCAAGTCATCAGGCCCCTGCAACCATGTGGGAAACCCAGATGGCCAGAGCTGAACTGGCCTGGATCTCATCTGGGTTTCAAGGAAATAAAATGTTTTAGAAAGCAGTCACCAGGGTGGAGCTGAGTGCTGAAGCTGCTGAGGGCTCCCCCGCTGTTCCACTGACAGGAAATCTGCGCGTGGACGCCAGGCCGTGGTCGCCAGGTCGTGGTCGCCAGGCCGTGGATGCCAGGCCGTGGATGCCAGGTCGTGGTCACCAGGCCGTGGTCGCCAGGCCGTGGATGCCAGGCAGTGGACACCAGGCCATGGTTGCCAGGCCGTGGTCACGGGGAGGCCTCACCGCCTGCACTGCCTGAGTGCTCACCACGCTTACTGCCCTCACAGCATCATTGCCCGCGCCCTAAACGCCGAACACCCTTCTCCTCACTGCTCCTCTCAGAGCCTACTGGGTCTCCATTCCCCAGGGAGACATCAGGGAAAGGGAATCAACTCACCTTTTCCCAATTTGTCCAACCAAATGTTTGGAGCGGGAGACCAGAATTCCCTAAAAATCATTTTCTAACTTCATAAACATCAAGGAGACAACGAATGATGAATTTCTGCATATTCACACATCTACCCTGTGCTTTTTCTGAAAAGCCTCAAGAAGTCAGTGATGTCACTCTGACAGACTCTGGGTCCGAGTGCGACCAAAGGCAAGGCAGACGTCGGCTACTCTGAGCTGGCGGCCCAGCAACGAGCCGCAGCTGCGACGCGTCTACACACACCAGGGGGAATCCCAGTCTCTCTCGTTCTTCTTTCCGTTTCATAATAAACTGGGCCTCGATCCCGTTTTGAAAACAGACTTACCTATGAGGTACAGGTCCTTTCTTCCATGGTAATGACTAAAACTTTCCTAACTGGTCCTCAGGGACACAGCCTGCAGAGGGCACCCTCGGAGCTACCCACAGCCTTAGAGGGCTGGTGTCGGGCCGCGGAAGGTAAAAGCCACAGCCTGCAATGCCAGTATCTAACATGACACTGCTCCACTGGCAATCCAGCTCCCCGCTAATGGCCAGGCAAAGCAGCAGGAGGCCTGCTCCAAATGTCCGGCCCTCTGCACCCACATGGAGAGCCAGAAGAGGCTCATGGCTTCAGCCTGGCCCAACAGGGTCACTGCAGTCATCTGGAAAGTGAACCAGCTTGCTTGCTCTCTTTGTAATTCTTTCTAAACAAATAAATCCTTAAAACAAACAAGGGCCCAGCACAGTAGCCTAGTGGCTAAAGTCCTCGCTTTTCATGCATTGGGATCCCATATGGCACCAGTTTGTATCCCAGATGCTCACTTGCCATCCAGCTCCCTGCTTGTGGCCTGGGAAAGCAGTCAAGGATGGCCCAAGGCCTTGGGACCCTGCACCCCTGTGGGAGACCCAAAAGAGGCTCTTGGTTTCTGATCAGCTCAGCTCTGGTCGCTGTGGCCACCGGGGGAGCAAATCAGCAAATGGAAAATCTTTCCTCTCTGTCTCGCCTTTTCTCTGTACACAACTTTCCAATAATAAATAAACAGATCTTTAGATAAACATCCCAAATATTCTCAAGTACACAGAGCCAAGTCTGTGAACGTCTTACTTACCTAACGTCCAAGCAAAATAGTATTTGGGTCTGGCGGCCAGAAGCGACACATACAGATAGGTGACCCTTGCTGGCCACGACGCTGTGGCCTGGAAGTGCTCGTTGATGTTGTATTCCACGGGCAGCATCTTGGAGACGGTCAGGTGAAACAGCAGGGACAGGCCACAGACCACAAGCTTCTGGATGACGGCGCCCTGAAAGGCATCAGACAAGATGTGGGCCACGTCACCAAGCTGTCAGTGCACAAAGCCCCCCGCCCTCCTGACGCTTCGACTGCGTCCTCGGAAAGCCACCCACCAGCAAGCTCAAGAAGATGGGGACGAGTGGAAAGGAATACAGAACGCACGGGGCCCTTCTTTGAATGTGCTTTTCCTGTGCCTTCCATTTCGTGAACATCACCTTTCATATCGATCTAAGCATCTCTGTAAATATGAACGTTCACTTGATCTTAGCCAAAAGGCAAGACGCGATGCAACTTTGTTCAAGATGGTAAAGCCGAAAGAATGCCCCACTGAGGAGCCTGAAGATTGTACCTGAGAGTCCAGCGCAAAGCAGAGGCCGCCTCACGCCCTACGGAGCCGAGGTTAAATGACCCACTCGCAGGGCCGTGCTGCTCCCACGTTTCTGGAAGGCTGGGTGGCATGTCTCAGCCACCTCAACATGATTACACAGGAAAGGAGCAGCAGGAAAAAGAAGTGGCAGGAGCCAGAGGAAGGAGCGTATCACACTCCTGACCAGCAAGCATCCGTGAGGGCCTCCAGGTCACCGAGCTAAGGAAGGCCTTGCGGGCAGAGGCTGGGCGTGGGCCAGAGTCCTCGCAGGAGCGTCATGCCCGGGTTCCAGCTCCATGCCCGGGTTCAAGCTGGCACCGAATGCTCACACCTCCTGCCTTTCCCTGCACACTGCACAGACACCCATAGACAAAGGGGGATTGGAAAAGGTCATTCAAGAAAAAGCGGGATTATAAACAAAATGAGGTGAGACAGGCAGTCCTGGATGAACTGAAAAGGAGGGCATCACTCAACCTTCTCCCAAGGGTCTCGGCCTCAGTTTGCAAAGACAAAGCAGCACACAGGTGATCCTAACCACCAGGATGCGTGTGTGCCCATCAGAATCCCAAGCAGGGCTCAGCCAGTGCAGGTTTCAGATGCCCTGGCAGGGGTGGGGACAGAAGGGCCTAAAACAGAGAGACGCAGTAACGCAAACTCAGAGGTAGCCAGGCTGCTGTACTTGACTGCTGAGCGCGGCGGGTGGGTGTGCACACACGCAGGGAGACTGCACACACCACATATGCATATATAACTGCTGCTTCTGCTATGCAAACACACATCTTACACACGTTGGAATCTTTATATACCTGCAACAGGGCAGGGCCAGGGCAGGGTCAGGGCAGGGGAGTAAGATGTGGAGGATCTTGAGTCTGGGTCCTCACCCAGGTCCAGGTGCCTGCAGCCCGCCTCGGCTGCCCCAGGGAGCAGGCCACAGGTTATTTCATGCAAAAAAACAAAACAGCCCCACAGGAAAGACCAGGAATGGGACAGCCCATTCCTTCCTGCCTGGGAAAAGCTCTTCCCTGGGCACACACCTGTGTGGATGAGAGCTCTCTGGTAGCTGAGTGGGGTATAGCTCTTTCATGGCATGCTGCTCAGAGGGACGGGAGGATTGAGTGGAACCCTTGGCACTCATGTGGGCCAGCCACGAGAGCCACCGCAGCTTGTGGGAGGACGCAGAGGAACCTATGGGCCGAGGTGCAGCCATGAGAGCCACCTGCTGCTGACAGGAGTTGTGCAGTGAGGGGAAAGCAGCCCTGCTGTTGGGGCCTTGTCTCAGCAGCCACACTGTGTCCTCAGTAAGGTGAAGAAGCCCAAGACCAGCAGCGGTGCCTCTCCCCTCTAGCACTGACATGCCAGGAGCTTCCAAACCACCAAGAGCTGCACAAGCCACTCCCATCCTGGCTGGTACACTCCAGAGTGAGGTGCCAGAAGTTAACTCACGGACCGGGATGGCTTTGCTGAGTCTGACTTACTGTTAGGGTTACTGCTCAAGTGTTTTATAAAACCGTATGATCTCTACACCTAGGGACCATGTTCAGAGCCTCTGCTCGCAGAGGGACATGCGCGGAACACACGCCTGGGAGCCCAGCAGCAGGTGCGCGGGCTTCATTCCTTTCACTGTCCTCACTCAGCTGCTGCCTGCGAGGTGACCGCTCGTCACCGCCAGCACACTGCCACCAGCAGGCCAGGGATGTGCAAGGCCCTGAGAGACCAGCCTTCAGAGGTGAGGCATGCGCAGCCTCCCCTGGCTCCGGGCTGCTGCTCTTCAAACAGGGCAAGGGCTACATGGCTGTTTCTACTACACTTTCCAGGTAACCGAAGACAAGCCCAAACGCCTGCACTTTCTTCTGTCCACATGCAGTGTCAGACTGCTGTCTGTGGCGTGGAGTCCATGGCTACAGTGGGCGGGGGTTGCCCTGTCCACATGGACTTCCTCCCCCAGCTCCCAAGCCCATGAGGGGTGAAGGGTCAGCCTTGTGATGCAAAGATTGAGCCAGCAGAAGCAGAACCAACTTCAAGTCTGAAACGCAACCCAGGTTGACAAGGCAATTCACAACCAACTGCCAGAGCTTATGGAATTGTATCATAAAATTAAAAATATGGGGGGGGCAACAGAAAACAAAACCAACTGACTCCCAACAGTGAGGAATGGGGACCACATCAGGTCTTGCAGCCCGTCTACAATGCAGTGAATCCAAGGAGCCCAAGAAGTCGGGGGACCACTCCCCCGAGACGTTGACGCAGCCAGCCTGGGTCTGTGCCTTTGGCTGCCAGCCTGGGAGCCCCCGGCCTCAGAGGCTCAGTCTCCTCCTGGCCTGGGAGGCCACCTGTGTGAGGTCCAGAGCCACTTCCCTTTGGGCAGGTTTATGAAGACGCGGACAGGCAAAGCCCAGACACGAGCGCCTCCCTAGCTCTGCCCAGGACCCTGCAGCGGCTTACGGTGGGAGATGGCTCGGTCCTCTCGCTCTGCCCCTGCGCCTTGCCGTTCTCACCGGGCTGTACCACCTCGTAGGATCTGCCCTCGATGAAGGTGATGTAGTCCTTGTAAGAACACAGCGGACCCGCCAGGATGCCCATGAAGTTGCAGTTGTAACTCAGGTACTCCAGCAGGCTAGGCATGCGCCTGCAACAGGAAGAAACGCCCTGGTGAGACCCACAGCCGCCTCTGCCGGTCACTGCCTGCCTTGCCACCCTGACATCCCGCCCAGAACAAGCGTGGCTTCCGTGTGTACCCACATGTTCGCACTCGGACACAGGTATGCTCTGCGTTTTCTAACGAGAGGGATTCCATGAAGATTGCTATGGGCCACTTGGATGTCTACCAGGTTTCTCGCTGTGAAACCAACCAGAGGTGGACTTGAAAGTACAGGAGGCATCTCCTGCTGGTCACCCAACAGCCCTGGGCAGACGCCCAGCACGTTGTAAGCTGCTGCTCTCACCCACGTCCCCTCTTAGAGTGTCCGGCTCAAGTTCTGGCTGCTCTGCTTCCGCTCCAGCTTCCTACTAAGGCATACCCTGGCAAAAAGCAGGTGACAGCTCAAGGACCTGACTTCCTGCCTCGCATGTGGGAGACCCGGATCAAACTTCAGGCTCCAGCAGGGACATGTGGGCCTTTGGGGGGGGAGTGGACCAGTGAATGGAAAATCTCTGTGTCTTTCAACTAAAATGAAAACAAAAATCAGAAAGAAAAGAAAAAAAGTAAAGCACCTCAATGCTCACTGGGTCAAGCCCGAGGGTGGGCGTCTGCAGCTGCGGCCACAAAGAACCAGGGACGGGCAGCTCTGAAGGCTGCCCACAGTGTCAGTCCCTGGGCGGGCTCAGGCTCGGCCACTGCCACGGCACCACATTCTGCGAGGACAGCAGCTAACTCCTAATCACGACACATGCTGGAGTGGGGTCTGGCTCGGCGTGCCACGGCAGCTACTTGCAGCGACCACACATCTGTTGGTTCTGTATTTGGGGTCTCTGTGAGAACTTGGTCTTAGGTAAAACGTGCACTTGATCTCTAACTGTTAGAGTGAAACAGAACCTGCCTGAGAGGTAAGCCACTGCTAGTCCCCAGGGCGTCCACAGAAGCCATCCTGGGCACTCACGGATGCCAGCGGGAAACATCTGTCTGGTCCCTCATGGCTTCAAATCACAGCACCCATGGGCCCGTGAACCTGCCGAGCTGAGCCCCTCGCAGCAATGACTACAAGGCAGACATACCACCCTCCTGTCTGGAACACTGAGCTTCGCAAAGATCACAACTAGCAAACAGGGGCCGACTCAGTGGTGCAGTGAGACCTCGGGGTACGACTGACACCAACATCCTCTGTTGACTCTGGCTCAGGTTCCAGCAGCTCCACTCCAACCCAACCCTGCCAGTGCGCCTGGGAGGAAGGCAGAGGCCAGAGGCTTGGGCTCTGGTCACCTGTGTGGCAGACCCAGATGGAGTTCCAGGCTTCTGACTTTGCCCTGACTCAGCCCTGGCTGTCGCACCCATTCGGAGAGTCACACAGGAAGGGGATCTCAGGAGGAGAGTGGTTTTTGTGATGGAGACCCCTCTATAAGAAGCAGGAAGCCTCAGCCACGCAAGCAGTGTGTCCACAGCAGAGACAGTGTGAGTCACGGCAGCACCACTACTGACACACGTACCTTACAGCTAACCCTCTCTGCGACGGCGTCAGCTCCTCATCCTTCCGGAACATCCCTGAGGAAGACAGACAGACGTATCAGTAAAGACATCTCCTGCAACTACACTTCTGTCACTTCCTCACTGGAGTGATTGGAAAGATTTCATGATTGCAGCACAGATGTCATCACTAAAGGTAACACAGTCTAACAACCCGATCTGTACAAGACCCAGGCAGGGGTTAAAGTCCTTGCCTTGAATGCACCAGAATCCCAAGTGTTGCTGGTTCTAATCCCAGTGGCCCTGCTTCCCATCCAGCTCCCTCCTTGTGGCCTGGGAAAGCAGTCGAGGACGGCCCAAAACCTTGGGTTCTGTGCCCGCATGGGAGACCCCGAGGAAGCTCCTGGCTCCTGGCTTCAGATTGGCTCAGCTCTTACCGTTGCGATCACTTGGGGAGTGAACCATTGGACAGAAGATCTTCCTCTCTGTCTCTCCTCCTCTCTCTATATCTGCCTTCCCAATAAAAATAAATAAATCTTAAAAAAAAAGAAAGAGCCAGGCAGGGCCAGCACTGGGCACAGTGGGAAAAGCCGCCACCTCTGACACCAGCATCTGATGCTCCAAGTACCCGGGTCCCCACCACCCATAAAAGAGACTCAGATGGAGTCCTGACTCCTGCCTTCAGACCAGCTCACCTCTGGTCACTACGGTGACATGGGGAATGAACCAGTAAATCAAGGCTCTCTTTCTTGCTCTGTCTCCTTCCCCCACACCTCTCCCTCTGTCTCTTCTTCTCTCTCTGTAACTCTGTCTTTCAAATAAACACAGTTAGGGCAATGAAAGTCAACAAAAGTGACTCTTCTCTAAAGGAAATGACTGTTCACTAAACACGTCTCCATACCAGCAGGTCAGAAAGTGCTTGTCTATTTTCTGGCTTTTCTTTTCTTTTTTTTTTTTTTTTAAGATTTATTGTATTTTTATTGGAAAGGCGGATATACAGAAAGGAGAGACAGAGAGGAAGATCTTCCATCCAATGATTCACTCCCCAAGTGAGCGCAACGGCCGATGCTATGCCGGCCCGAAGCCAGGAGCCTCTTCCGGGTCTCCCACGCGGGTGCAGGGTCCCAAAGCTTTGGGCCGTCCTCAACTGCTTTCCCAGGCCACGGGCAGGGAGCTGGAAGGGAAGCGGGGCTGCCGGGATTAGAACCAGAGCCCATATGGGATCCCGAGTGTGCAAGGCGAGGACCTTAACCACTGCTCCACCGCGCCGGGCCCGTATTTTCTGGCTTTTCTAAGAGGGGCACGGCCATTTTCCTCTTCTTGGATGAGCTAACCAACTAAACCCACGAACCACAGGCCAGAAATGATGATTTCGTTTGCTCTCACGACTCCAGTGAGTAGAAACTAACTCAAATACACTATCTTGTTCAACAGATTTACCTCCAAACAGGGCGACACCAGCTACAGTGACACCTCTACTTTATACAGCCAAATACCCTAAAAAATTTACCCTGTATATATATTTAAATACCAAAGAGGAACTGAATTAATAGGTAAACAACATATTAACAAGACATCTAAAGCAGATAAAGTATTAATATCTCCCAAAAGTCAAAACAAAAACTAAAAAATGCCAGAATAAAGAAATCTCACAAGAAAAAAAAATAAACAAATCATAAAAGAAAAACAGGTAATAATTAACATGAAATGTACATTAAAAGAAAAATGACACTGCCACTGCCAGAAATCTGCAGGAATTGTCGAGGGTTCTTACACAGCACGAGCACAACCACACGAAGCACCCGTTCTGTGTGTGCGACACATGTACACGAAACGGGCAGGAAGAAAGTTGTCACCTTAAGTGCCCCGCGAGCTGCTCTAGGCACAAAGGTGGCAGAACAGACAGGGACCTTCCCTTTACACAGCTAAGCTCCAAAGGGATGGAACACAAACCAATCAACACGCAGAGACCACGGGGACCCCGAGCACTTGCGGGTCAGCCCGGACAGGAAGCGCCACGGGAGCCCCCACCTCACTGTCAGGGCTCACAGCCCCAGTGCAGGCGTGTCCCCTGCCTGCAGCACAAGCACTGGAAGCCAAGGAAATGATCAAAGGCTTTTCAAGACTTACAACAAGGACCATCGCAGTCTTATAAATAAAAACACATACAACTGGGGATAGGGAAGATAAAAAAATACGTAAGTCTTTCCATAATTAGGGAAAAATAAAAATGTATCAATCAGGCACCCCGCTTTGGGAAACCTGGGTGAGACGGGGTTCACTCCCTCACTCAGAACAGGGCGCCAGGTGCTGTGGGGAACAACGGGGCGGTACTGCAAGGCCTGCGCGGCAGCCTCAGCCAAGCTGCAGGAGGAGCTGTTCTGGAAACTTACAGGGCACAGACTGGCTCAAACTGCCAGGACTCCCCACAGTCTGAACTGCGCCCAGCTGGGGTTCCCTCGTACCTCTGAGCTGACTGCTAGCTGGCATCAGATGTTCCCAGATCTAAGGAGAATCCCAGCCTGATCTGGGACTTTCCCAAATGCTCCTGTCAGTTCTTGGCACAGTTGGCACTGCCAATGTTCATGGCTCCTCCCTAATGCACAGGCTTACAAGTGAGTCCCCGCTCACTCACTAGGAGACCCTGTATCCAAACTGTAACCCAGCAAGAAACTCTCCAAGTGGATCACACTGTATGTCTCCAAGTGAGAAACCCTAAGCAGGGAAACAGCAAGCTGGGGCCTGAGCCCCGTGGGCCCCGTGGGCCTCCACTGGCACCCTCCTGCCTCCCGCTCCTCCTCTGTGCCAAGCCTGGCTCACCGGGGTTGTGCTGCCTGACACGTGCACCTGCGGCCTTCCTGGGACTAGGGCAGCTGCCTCGTGCTCTCCTCTCTCCCAGCACTACGAAGTTAACCTCACCTATCTCCTCTCCGTTCTAAATCGCAACTCCTGTAGGTCAGCCGACTGAATCCCACTCTAACACCTCCTGTGACTTAGCTGCAGGCCAAGGGGACATCAAACACTGAAGGGAAACGCTGCCCCACCCTTTCCCACCAGAGCAGAGGGCTCAAGCTGCCTTAAGCCAGGCGTCTCTGGGTGACAACAGTCTACTTCAAAGCACTTACCGTCATGGATCTCGTAGGCCAGGCTGGTGATCTTCTGCGTAATGATCATCATGGGGCTGTGACGAGACACAAGCAGAGAAGGCGGCTGAGGGGACACTCAAGATACCCGGGAAAGAGCAGTGCTCCCCCGACTGCACACCTCAGTTAACCACAGCTGCCTCAACTACCGGGAAGGCACAGAGAGATCGTCCACCTGCTCGTTCCCTCCCCAAAGCCCGCAGCAAACAGCCAGGCCAGGTGAGGCCAGGGAACCAGAACTTGGGATGGCAGGGCCCAAGTACTCAAATCACGACCTGCTGTCTCCCAGAACAGCCGGAAGCCGGAAGCTGGAAGCAAGCAGCACAGCTGGGACTCCGACATGGAGGCAGGCATCCCAAGTGGCTAAGCACCCAGTTCTGAGACGTCCAACCTGAGACAGGCCTCCGAGGGCTTCAAGGAGGTGCAGCCCCCCTCCCCCTCCATGCAGGGCAGGTCTGAAAGCACATGGGTATTGCCCACAGCCTGGCCCTGGCTGACAGCTCTTCCTTCCAGGGGCCACCGGGGTTGAGACTGAACAGAAAGTGGAAAAGTGAGTTGCCTGAGAAACAGAATGAGCAGAAAAACAAAGACGTCTGAGTGAGAAATGCTGAGACCACCACCATGAGGGAAACCCCTAGGCCCATCTCCCCGTCCAAAGCTTTGGGGGAAAAGGATGCCAATGGCGGCCACTTCCAGCCCAGCAGTCACAGCCTGTTTCAAACCGAGGTGACAAGGGACAAACCGTCCCTCTGCTCCCTGCATTTTAGACTCACCAAGTTGGCACAGAAAACTTGTAGAGGAAAAAGTGCTGGGCCTGTTCTCACACTTGACTGGCACTAACAATTGCCCAGAGCTACTTATTTCCTTGTTTGAAGCATGAACCCAGGTGTGCCCACTGGGTGAGGTGTGCAGGGCCCAGGCTGGGTGGCACACAGGGTCACCCCACTAACACGAGGTCAGCCACACAGGGGCCCAGGCTCCCCAGAAGTCAATCGTCGGGGAGCAGGCCTGATCATGCTCCCCGGTGGACCACTCTCACTGCCCACGTCCCCACAGACGGCCACTACTCCACTGCAGTCACAGCCGCAGAGCCTCTCTGTACTAGAGGCCCACGCACAGCCTTTGCTTCACCCCACTTCCTGTTCGACCCCTCACACACAGTGGGTGCACCTGTGCACTTACAGGGGAAGCTTAAAAATGTCTCCCTTTTTCAGGAGGCCCCGAGGCAGAGAACCTAACAGTCTCACATATCAGATGCTCCCAGGCAGGGACGCACCTGAGACACGAGCTCCATAAATACTTAAAAACACCAAACTCGGTCAAGGCCAGTCAAGATGCAGACTCCCTCCCTGCCATCCCCCCAAGCTGCGCCGGAGAGCAGAACCACACCAGTCTCCGACAGGGCTGCTCCCATCATGGGGACCTCAGCTCTTGGCACACGCGCAGTCCCCTTATCGCTGAGCCTCCTGACTGGGTTCAGGGGGCGCTCATGAACTGGCTGCTTGACCACCAAGCCTGTCACTTTCCCAGTCCTTTCACTAGGGGACTTTCAGAGGGGCTGCCGACAGGCAGTGGCCAGAGAACACAACGCTATCACGAGGGCAGCCTGGAGGAGTCTGGCCTGAGCACAGCAGAGGTGGAGGCTGCCCTCATGGGTGAGGGCATCGGACAGGGCTGAGAGATGCCAGCGTGGGGGAACAGGTGGGGCACGGGTGCACCTGCCCGGGGCCCTGGGGCCAGGAGAGCAGGACCTGCCATGCAGAGGGACACAGCTGCTCACAGGGATGCAAGGGTTCAGGGAGTATTTAGAGAAATAAAAACCACTCATCTGAATCAAGGAACTACATATTTAAAAAAACACTCTACACTTTCTGAGGAAAAGAAAGTTTAGAAATACACCATTTTCTTCTCTACAAAGAACAGAATTTGTTTTTATCAGTCATGTGTTCACACATCTGAGCGTGCTGAGAATGAGCCCAGCTCCAAGCCCCCAGGAGACTGCTGGACTCACCTGAGGTCTGCCCATGTCTCTCCACACAGCAATAACAGTGTGGCCACTGTGCCCCTGGCTGCTGGCCACCCTTCCCTCAGTGTGAGCATGGGACCCCTCCATCCACTGCTCTGGGACCCCCGACACCAAACAGACACCTGAGTGGTGACTGACGGACACCGGTGAGTGAAGACGGAAGGGCCGTGGGTCTGAGCCACCTGTTCCCGAGCTCTTGCAGGGAGCTGAGTCTGTGAAGTGTGCTGACGTCACGGCAACACGCTAGGAGCTGGAAACACCGTGTGGACCAGACAGAGTTCTTCTGTCAGGGAATCTGCACTGCACACAGACCGTGAGCGAACAGGCGGCAGATGTGCACATGGCGGCAGCTGAGAACTGCGCAGTAAAGGAACCGGGCAGGGTCTGAGCGTCACAGGTGAGAACTGCCCCCTGCCCCACAAGGTGACAGGTACACAGGCGCAAGCCCCGCGGAGGCCTGTGGGGAGAATGTTCTGGAAAGAGCAAAGAGAAAAATCCACTGAGGGCCCTCTGTGGGCAGCGTGCCTATGGACAGACACTGCAGACCGGAAGCAGGTGGGGAGCCCAGGCTCCTGCAGGCAGGGTGATCTGACTGTGATCTGGGCGATTTCAGGAAAGCACTTTACAAGGCTCACAGTGGGGTGGGAGTGACAAGGAATGGAGGCCTAGGAGCAAGCGAGCCCAGATCCCAGCAAGGCTGGGCACCCCCTCCTCAGTCCCCAGATGCTGGGACACCTTCAGGACAGCCACGCATGCTGCCATCCCACACAGCCTTTCTCGTTGGCACTCTTGGTCAGACTGCACCCTGGCCCCTCTCCTCCTCCTCGGGAAAGGAAGACCCCAGCCCCATGGGCAGTACTCCCACCTCCCCAGATGGACTCCCTGCCCTTCAGCTCGCCTCCAGCCACACGCCTTAATCGTACTCTCACGGCAGGAAGATGGGAATTGGAACTACGTCTGCCAGGCCCCGCAGCCCCACACTAGCCGCCATTTTACATGGATGCCTTAGACCTGGTGCTGTGGACACACTGCGGAGAGCAGGCGGCAGGAGAGCCGGGCAGGCATGGGCAGCTGAGCCCCCGAGGTGCCACACACCACACCCAGGGTCCGATGACAACCTGATCACACATCTGGTAAGCCGGGTCAGTGATCTGAAGGGCAGCCAGGAACCTAGCTGCAGGCAAGCAAGCCAAAGTGTCCATGAGGCCACATGTGGGGACAGCCTGACAGGTAGCAGGACACTCGGGGGGTCCCCATCATGGCAGAGAGCCACTGTGCGGCTTTTCACAGAAAGGCTCCTTCCTAACACATGGAGACAGCAAAGGCCATGGTGTGGGCTCCAGCAAACGGCAAGGGACAGGCACCAAGGACAGAGTCTGAGACACAGCAGGTGTCTCCTCTCACTGTCACACCTCTGTGTGACAAACACTGGAGGAGCTGTGACATGCGACACACACTGGGGGACACGGCCCCCGGCGGGGACATGGGTGCGTCCCTGGCAGCAGGAGACAAACAAGCACATGGACACAGCAGCCCCTGCCACGACCTCCGTGCCCGGTGCGTGGACACAGCAACCTCTACCACAGCCTCTGTTCCTGGCGCATGGACACAGCAGTCCCCGCCATGGCCTCCGTGCCCAGTGCATGGACACAGCAGCCCCCGCCATGGCCTCCATGCCTGGCACATGGACACAGCAGCCCTCACCGCGGTCTCCGTGCCCGGCGCATGGACACAGCAACCTCTACCATGGCCTCCGTGCCCAGTGCATGGACACAGCAGCCCCCGCCGCGGCCTCCGTGCCCGGCATGTGGACACAGCAACCTCTACCATGGCCTCCATGCCTGGTGCGAGGACACAACAGTCCCTGCCACGGCCTCTGTGCCCTGCAGCCAACTGCTGCCCAGACACAACTCCAGAAACAAACAGCTCACTTCAACTGCACACTGTCCATGTTGTAAGACCTCCACTATCGCGCTCCACCCTGCTGGCAACATGCACGGCCCCTGGTCCAGCATGACCACCTGCACACACTGCCCACCTGGGGGCACCTGGGCTTTGTGAGGTCCCACCTGAGCAGAGAACTACCGCAGCACACTCCCTTTAGGCCACACTGAATGCCTGTCATGTGTGTCTGCATGGGGCTCGGTGGGCCCTGCCTTCAGGAAACCATGGGGGTGGGGAAGTTGGGACATGTAGAGCAGACACCAACCTTGCAGGAGAGGGTATGGTGGCTGGTGAAGCCCAGGAGACATATGGAGAAAGGACAGCTTCAAACTCTCCATCTGAAGTCACTGAAAGTGAGCCCTCAGGATGAGCCAGACGCAGGGCGGAGAGGGGGTCCCGAGAGAGGGTGGCAGCTGGGCAGGGATGCTGTGGGGGCTGTAGGCCACCCACCTGGAGCACCTCCCAGCCCCGCTCTGGATGCACAACAGTCCTGGCTAGGAAGCTCCAGCAGGGCACAGTAGGGACCAATGAAGCCATCAGCTGACATGTGTCTGTTGACTCAGTAACCAAGCTAAGCCGGCAGTGGCCAGACAGAATGCCTCTGGTAACCCGTAACCTAAAGCACCTTGTAGGTGGGGGCTGGGAGACACTCCCGCAGGCTGGACAGTGGCAAAGGGCATATGAGGGCCTGTGGGCAGCTGTGTGACCGGCACCACCACAGCATGGTCCCAGGGCACCAAGGAAGGAGCCAGTATGACTCATCACACAGTATCAAGCACTGCCCTTGAACAAGGTGCACAGGTGAGCACAAGGCACCTGCTGCTTTGGGACAAAGGCCTGGGAGTGCCGGCCCAGGCACGGCTGCGCTCCACCGAGCCCCTCACCTGGGAGTGCCGGCCAAGGCACGGCCGTGTTCCCCGAGCCCTTTGCTCCCCAGCCCCTTGCCTGGGAGTGCCGGCCAAGGCCATGCTCCACCGAGCCCCTCGCCTGGGAGCGCTGGCCAAGGCACGGCTGTGCTCCACTGAGCTCCTGCCACAGTGCAGCCCTCACCAAGCCCCCGACCCCATCTCATTAGCCAGCTCTCACAAGTCAGGTAAAAATCACAGCACACAGATCCACTAAGCGATCTCCTCATGCAATCAGAAACCAACACACTTCCGCTGACATCTGTCACTCAGCTAGCGTGGTGGGAGCAGGGCCCACTTTCCCCTACCCTTCCAGATGAGCCAGGACACTGCCTGAGGCCTGCAGCCTGCCCCCCTGCTGTATAGGCGATCTCAGCACGGCCAGCTCCTCTGCCCCACTTCCCTGATTTGCCTACTCCTGGTTCAGCCTCACAGAACGTTGGCTCTCATCATGGGCAGCAGGGACGTGTTCCCATCACTCTCAAGCAGTCATCCGTCTAGAGAAACTTTCCATCAGCTGGTAAATTTCCTTCAAAGCTCCACCCTTACTGACATTACATGGACAGATGAACTTTATGGAGTTTCCTATCCTGTGAACTGGCTGTTCCTTCAGGGCTTCTATTACTTCCACAGAACCCTGGACACTCCCTCAGAATCCTGAGCCAGTATTCCCAGTATTCCAGTATTCCCCAGCGTTCTGCTTCTACGTGGTGAGTGCTGAACAAGGCATCTCCGTCTGTGTGCACCTGCTGAGGTGGACGTGAGCGCCACGACTTCAGCAGTTCAGCCGGCCCACCAACAGAAACTTGTGCTGACAGTCCTGGCCTGCAACCTCACAGCTTATGCACGCCTCCACACCGTGGGTGAAGGACTCCCCCTCAGTCAACAGCTCAGGGCTACGGGCGGCACATGGCCTGTGTGCCAGCTGCAGGGCCAGACGGGGCGAGGGCTGCCCCCAAAGGCTCTTCCACCTCCACAGGGGCGAGCCTTGGCCTGGGCGTGCCTTCAGCCAGCTGTCTTCCATCCCCTCCGACCCAGGACTTAGAGCATGGACACTTGGCCCATTGCCCCCTCCTACCTTCATGGCTTTACATGGTCTCCCTGCCCACCCCGTGTACACAGGGAGCTGTAAGCACACAGAATAAGCCCACTGTAGCTCTTGGGGGTCGTGCATCTAGGCCCCCGTGCCTCTGTGAGATCTGCACAACTTGGCCCCAGTTCTCTCCCAGTACGAAAGCACTTTCCTGTCCTCGCTGCTGGCACAGTGGCATCCGAGGCATGGATTACTGCTCTCAGGATCTTCAGTCCATGCCGGAAACGCTGGGGAGAATTCCTCGTGTTTTCCCAACTGTTGATGATGCTTTCGGTCTCCAGGGCCTAGTACGTGCACAGCCAGATCGCTCGCGGCCTCACAGAGCAGCCCACACGATTCTCCAACCGTGCTTACCAGCATGCAGCGAGCGTGGGCTGTCTAATTCCAGGAGTTCTCGGAGGGCTCTCACTTGCTCCAAGCCTAGCTGTAAACCTCATTTATTCGGGGGCAGACTCCACTTAAAGAAGCCACATCAAATGGTTTGTGGAAACAAGAGACAATAGCTTGCCAAGTTTGGAAGCTTGGTACTTTGCCATTCTGTTCTTTATTTTCACCTTCCTCCAATGTGGTGTCTACCATAAATAGCAGACTGCCAACTCTTATTCCTTCATTCTCATCCTGCTTCCTCAAATCACAGTACTGTCAGGGACCTACACAAACCCACATTTCTGTCACAGGCACACGGTGCTCAAATCCACAACCTGGAACAAACTCTTGAACACACGCTGGGCTCCTTTCTTGCTCCGTTTATGAAGCATCTGTGCAGCTGTTGGGTTCTGAACTGATGCTACAGAACATCTGAACGTGTCTTTGGTCGGTTAGGGTCTGTTGATGGTTATACCATACTGACAACATGTGATCTGGGCTTTTCCTCAGTCACTCTGGATCAAGGGGCACGGGGACAGAATACGCTGAGTCAGGCCGGCTTACTCGCCCATGTCCAAGCACCTGTAACAGGACCGCTGGCATCCAGTACCCACAGCCCTGGTGGGCTTCTGACGTCCTCTGAACACACTGCTGCTTTCAATGACCTTTTTTTCTTTAATAAGATTGAATCTGTTTTGTTTTGGCTTGCATGGTTGGTTGTTTCAGTAATTCCCCCTTACTCCAGTTTGCTCTTCAAAAATCTGTGTGAGGTCCAGCATGGTAGCCTGGTGGCTAAGTCCGCGCTTTGCATGTGCCAGGATCCCATACGGGCGGCAGTTCAGGTCCCAGCTGCTCCACTTCCCTTCCAGCTACTTGCTTGTGGCCAAGGAACACTCAAGGACGGCCCAAAGCCTTGGGACCCTGTACCTGTGTGGGAGATCAGGAAGAATCTCCTGGCTCCTGGTTTTGGATCAGCTCAGCTCCAGCCGTTGAAGACACTAAGGGAGTGAATCAGCAGACAGCTGTTTCTCTCTTTCCTTCTCTCTGTAAATCTGCCTTTCCAATAAATAAATAAATAAATAAATCTTAAAAAACAAACACCACCTGTGTGGTATGGGGCCTGTGAACACGGACTTCAAGTTAACCCTCTCCCTGCAGCACCTGTATCCCATAATTGCACTTTTTTGAACTCTGGCTGTTCCTCTCATCCAGCTCTCTGCTAACATGCTTGAGGAAGCAGCAGAGAATGGCCCAAGACCTTGGGCCCCTTCACCCATACAGGAAACCCGGAAGAAGCTCTTGGCTCCCAGCTCTTTCAAGCAGCTCAGCTCTGGCTGTTTTGGTCATCTGGAGAGTGAATCCAATGGATGGAAAATCCCTCTCTTTAAAAAAAAAAAAAAAATACATATATATATATATATATATATACACTTGCTTTTATAGGAAAGGCAGGTTTAGAGAAGGAGAGAAACATAAAGATCTTTCATCTGCTGGTTCACTCCACACATAGCTACAGCGACTGGAACTAAGCCAACCTAAAACCAGGAGCCAGGAGATTCTTCCTGGTCTCCCACACAGGTGCAGGGTCCCAAGGCTTTGGGCCGTCCTTGAGCCCATATGGGATCCTGGCACTTGCAAGGTGAGGATTTAGCCAATGAGTCATCATATCGGGACCAAGATCTCTCTTTCATAACTCTTTTAATAAAGCAAATTTTTTAGTTTGTTTTGTGTTAATCTGGTGGTAAAACCCACTTTCCTCATCAGGGAGAGACGGATGTCACCTTCTGAAATTCTCATTTCCTGCAGTGATCTTCCTCTGAGCTCAGCAGCTCCACTGTTCCTGCCGTCGAGATTCTTTTCCTGAGGTACCATGATGACTGTTCCACTTTTTCTTCCACTGTTTTCACCGCTCACACGTGCTGTCCGACTGACTCAACACAGACACAAAGGCAGATCTTCCAGGGCTAGTGATGGGGTGTGGCACATAAAGCTGCCACCTGCGACACCAGCAACCCACTGGGGCCCCAGTTCGAGTCCCAGCTGCTCCACTTCCCATCCACCCAACCAGCTCCCTACTGGGAAAGCAGTGGAGGCTGGCCCACGTGTTTGCGCCCCTGCACCCACGTCGGAGGCTTGGAAGACGCTCCGGGCTCTTGGCTTTGTGCTCGCCCAGCCGCAGCACTGCGATCATCTAGGCAGTGCATCAGCACATAGATGACAGCCTTTTCTCTCTTTCTCCCCCTAATTCTGCCTTTCTAATATGTAAATAAATCTTAAAAAAAGAAAAGAAAAAGGAAATCTCCCACATCTTGTTCAGTGGTATGCATTTCTGGGTCAGCCACAATGAATATAAGCACGCTGAATCTCTAGCTTCCTGCCTTGTTCCCAGGAGTTGGCAGAGGCGCCTGACTGAAGCCAGAGCAAGCAGGCTCCTAAGGGCTCATGCCTGTCTCCCAACTGACATTCAGTCACTTTTGCACCAAGACAAGAGGACCCTCCCTCACCTCAACCCAGAGCCAGGGAGGGAAGAAATCCCCTTGCCAGGAAAAGTCAGAATTCCTTCTCCGCGGATGCTGCTAGCAAAGTCCAAAGCACCTGCGCAGAGGCTGCGTGGGAGATCCTTCCCAGACAGGCAGACGGACAGGGCAGCCCACGCTCCGGCACCGCCAAGCAGCTCTCACCCACGGACCCCACACGTGACCGGCAGAAGGGACAGAGAACCACAGGGGGATGCACTCCCGGGGGACAGCGTCCCCGTTATAAGCAACGCAGAGGCTTCCATCAGGATTAGAAAATGCTTTCTAATGCAGAGTGAAACAGGAAATTTACTTGCAACACATTTTAAACTTTTTAAGGACAATTTTAAAGCACAGGGTACTTTTGCAACATACAGTATTACCAAAGACCACTTACAAGAGGAAAAATTCTGAATTCATAAAGGATTTCCCAGTTGAAATGTTCAGCAATGACACTGCACAGGAACTACAACATGCTGCCACGCTGCGTCCTTTAACCACCAAGTCAGGAGAGGATAAAAATGGGCTACTGAATCAAGGTTTGAGTCTTACCCTGAAAAATCAGCCGAATATTGTCCATAATCAAAGATATAGACTCTAGTAATTTGGCACACTGTGAGGTATCCCAAAGCAAACACAAAACAATATCTGCAAAACAAAAATAAACCACATTAGTGAAAATCAGAGAGTCACGTGCTTAAGAGTACATTTTCAAGTAACTTATTAACAAAATGATACGGTTCGAAAATCCAATGCCTCTACATCCACCCCCAGATAGCTGTGGCTAACCAGTCAGGAGAAAGCGGCCAGGGTCCGCGTCAGGGTGCGCAGGTGACACCTCCAACGGGAACTGTACTGTCACCGCCCTGGCGATGCCTTTGAGCGACACCTAGCTACGTGCAGCCACAACGTAAAATGCATGCCTGGCGCGGCTTCTTCACTCGGTCCTCTTTTTCCAGAGACAGACTTAGCACAAACAAGTTTGGCCACTTGTTCTCAAGAGTCTGAAACCACACATCCTATGGGACAGGAAAGGCCATTCAAACGTTACAGGCAAAAAGACTGGGTGATTTCACGAAACTGAGATGCTCGGGGCAGATTTAAAATAATGAAGAACACAGCACGGCAAGAGACTCAGAAACAGACTGCAGACTCTACCCCACTGCACCAGGTGCAGGCCGCACTGCAAGCCCACTGCATCAGGTGCAGGATGCACTGCAAGCCCACTGTACCAGGTGCAGGCTGCACTGCAAGCCCACCGCACCAGGTGCAGGCCGCACTGCAAGCCCACCGCACCAGGTGCAGGCCCCACTGCAAGCCCACCGCACCAGGTGCAGGCCCCACTGCAAGCCCACTGTACCAGGTGAAGGCCACACTGCAAGCCCACTGCACCAGGTGAAGGCTGCACTGCAAGTTGGGGTGACTAGGATGAACAGGTAACAACTCCATGTCCAGCTCATCCTAAAATAACTCAAGATGGATTAAAGAATAAAATAGGTAACCAAAACAAATAAAGTGTGGCTAAACATGTTTTGAATTTGGAGAAGGATTTTAAACCTACATGATAAGGAAAAAAATCAAAAGGAAAAATATTATTTGAATAAATTAAATACAATTTTTTTAAAAATTTATTTATCTGAAAAGTAGAGTTACACAGAGGGAGAGACAGAGATGTCCCTTCTGATAGACTGAGCCTGGGCAAAGTCAGGAGCTTCATTCGGGTTCCCACATGGGGGCGGACACAAGTGCCTGGGGTCTCCCACATGTTGGCGGGGCACAAGCACCCGGGCCATCCTCTGCTGCTTTCCCAGGACCACAGCAGGGAGCTGGGCCAGGAGCAGAGCAGCCAGACTCCAGCTGGAGCCCTTACAGGATGCCAGCACCACAGACGGCGACTCATGCGCTTCACCATAGAGGTTGACCCTGAATTAAATTCTTAAACTTGCCAAGGGCAACACGAGGGGTTCATGAGCTGGTTCATTACCAGCTGAATTCCTCCTGAGCAAAGGAGACAGGAGGAAAGCTTCCCAATTCAAATGTTTTAGGAAGCTGATGTGTTCATGACCACGGCATCTGACCGGAAGCACCTGTGTGCATGCAAGGGTCCCCCAGCAGGCCAAGTTCCTCCCTCGCTGACAGCACCTCAAGGTGACAGCCTGCCTTGCCAGCTCCAGGTGTGTCGCGTCATCAGCCTGGCAGTACCCAGCTCACACCCCACAGAGCCGCGTTCTAAATGAGCTGCACTGGAAGTGAAACAGCTGGGAACTGAAGCAGTGCCCATGCGGGATGCCAGTGTTGCAGATGGAGGCTTGACATGCGGCATCGCAAGGCTGGAAGTGCGGGGTGGGGAGCAGCTGAGCACCTTGGGAGTACTTCCTGTTATCTCAAGGCCCACAGGAAATGGGTTTGGTTCCTCCTACTTTGTAAACAGACCTTCCCCCTCCCACCCGACCAGGTTCACTCCAGTTTAGCAGGCCAAGGCTGACCCAAGTTGACCTACAGCTCACTGCCCACACTCAGTGTCACACATCAGCAGGCTCAGAGCCCCAGCTGCCAGCCACCACCACATGAAACACAGGGCCACACACTGAGTGACAAGGGTGGCAACTGGAGTGCAGGAAATGATGAAATGTTTCATTAACAACATCAACAGTTGTTAATTGAGCAGAGTGGACAGACCAGTCCTGACGGTGCAGCAGGCACACTTGCTTTGCTGTTGGAACATGGGCACCAGGCAGCGGCCACCGCCCAGGACAGCAGTGAGGGAGAACAGCAGCAAGCAGCTGACACTGCTGCCGCCCACAGTAAGGAAACAGAAGACGCACCGAGTTCCTCGGAGCACCAGTGTGGAGCAGTGGAGTGGGCAGATGAACCAGAAGAGCAGCGTTCCAGCTCTGAGACAGAGGTGTGGCCAGGACAGGAGTCTGGCCAGCAGCATGCCCTTATAAAGGATCGGGACACACAGTGAAGTCAGGATAGCCTTCAGCAGCCCCTGGAGGGACTGGGCGTGCGTCCTGCATAGACCCGCACAGATGCGGTTTCCAGACACTCCGGGCTCTGCTGCTTGGACTTCTGCGAGACAAGACAGCTGCCTCCAGATGTGCTGTATCCCAGCCTTAGGTGGAGCGGGGCATCTGTGGAGGGCACCCAGGTGACCTGGTCTTTTGGAATGGGTTATCATCAGATATGGGAGAAGGCCAGCTCAGAGAGTGTGGGCACGAGCCAGGGTCTGAGGGAACAACCCAGGCAGCGGGGCGCCAAGTGGCTCGCATTCAGATCTCCCATGGCATCAGCGCCTGTGCTGTCTACCATGCGACACAGCAGGTGGCAGGAACAAATCTTGTCCCTCCAGTTCTTCAGGTGGAGAGGAATGTCCATGAGGAACCACGCTGGGAAGTGCTACCTGCCCCAGGTGTGGCTCAGATGACAAGATGAACAACTGAGTGTGCTGCCCTGATGGAAGGAGCCTGGGGCCTCAGGAGAAGATGGGGCGTGCTGCATGCAGGTTGGGGACAGGTAGGGGCCAGGACACACAGTCCCCAAAGATGGCCACCACCACTGACAGCCCAGCTGCACGGCTGGGCTCAATGCCCCTCCGGCTGGAGTCCATGCCAGCTCACCAACGGGCCATGGGGACAGGCCTCGGGAACCTGCAGCCAGGTGTACCTCCTCCCGAAAGGCCCGTCTTCTCAGACCCCTGCCGTCTCACTGGGAGAAACCTGAAGGCACTCCCTGCCTGAGGGAGGCCTCCTGGATGTCCCACTTGGAAACGCTGCCCCATTCACCTGTGAGCCCAAGCAGTGCGGCCAACACCCGGGCTAAGGGAATGAAGGGTGCAGCACACGACAACACCTACTGCTTGAATGAACCACAGCCGCGCACCGAGGCGGACTGGCTCCGTCAGCGTGGGATTCTGCTCCGGAAGATGGGAAACCCCCACGGCAGGGATGAGCCAGACGAAAAAGGACTGCAGCGGATGCGCTTAACGAAGTCAGGCATGCTGCACTGCGACAGGCGCAAATCCTAGGACGCTAAGGAAGAGGACGCTGCAAGGAAGACGTGCTCAAACACTCAGTACCTCCTCAGCCTTTGGCTAAGGGCACAGAGGAGAAGGCGCACACAGTGCTGGTGACACTTGAAAACTCAAGTGACTTTGAAGCTCACTTTCCTGAAAGCCATTTCTAAACTTAGCATCATAATCCCGACCAAACCTAGCCAGTTGACGGTCAAGGTCTTCGGGAAAACAAACAGAGGAGGAAGACCCGCCTCGCTTTTATCTTCAGCAGATGAAAGAATACTCCGTTCTGTTTCAGACACAGATCAAAAGATCAGCTACACAGAAGAAAGTTCCCCAGAAAAACAAAACAAAACAAAAAGCCTCACTGTGCAATGGAAAAGTTTACGATAAAGCTGGTACACTAGTGGGAAGACGAACAAGGGAAATGAAGCTAAAACAACACTAGCTCTCATCTCACCTCCTAGTTCACACCACACACACACACACACACACACACACACACACACACCACACACACACACACACCACACACACACCCCCCACACACATACCACACACACACACCACACACACACACCACACACACCACACACACACACCACACACACCACACACACACACCACACACCACACACACACACCACACACACACCACACACACACACCACACACACACCATACACACACACACCACACACACACCATACACACACACACCACACACACCACACACACACACCACACACCCCCCCACACACACACCACACACACACACCACACACACACCATACACACACATACCACACACACCACACACACACACACACACACACACACACACACCACACACACACACACCACACACACACCCCCCACACACACATACCACACACACACACCACACACACACACCACACACACCACACACACACACCACACACACCACACACACACCACACACACACCACACACACACACACACACACCACACACACACCACACACACACCATACACACACACACCACACACACACCATACACACACACACCACACACACCCCCCACACACACCACACACACCATACACACCCCCCCACACACACACCATACACACACACACCACACCCCCCCCACACACACCACACACACATACCACACACACACACACACACACCACACACACACCATACACACACACACACACACACCATACACACACACACACACACACACACACACACACACACACACACACACACCACACACACCACACACACCCCCCCACACACACCACACACATACCACACACACCACACACACACACACACACACACACACACACACACACCCTGGGAACTTATGCAAAAGGTAAAAAAAAAATCCTCTGGCAGGTTGTGTCATACACACACAGGAATGCCCACACAAATTTGGCGTGCCAATGTCTTCAGAGGCCTGTGAAAATTAACAAAGTCTGACCAATATTCATTACTGAACATCAGAAATCCCTGTGTGGTAGCACTTCCTTCAGCGCCCCCTCCCCCCTTCCTCTTCTAGAGGGAGGGCCAGGACAGAGCCTGGAGCCTGAGCCAGGGTGTGCAGCCTGGGCTCCCATGGGATCAGACCGTTCCAC